CTTGCTGCCGTTGTGCTACTCTTATTGCCGTTTTTTTTTCTTGCAATTTATTTTATTCAACATATAAATATTATTATTCGGTAGATTTTAAATCGGTTGTATACGTCTGATATGTTCTCATGCATGTCTATTCAACATTTTAGATACCATTCCATCTATATCTCCATCTCACTTCACTTCCAAATGGGGAATTCAATTAAACGAGATATCATAAATGTATTTTTTTTAAAAAAAAAGAAGAAGCAAAAAATCAACAAGGTCCATCGTGGATAAGAGTCTCAAGCGCATTTGTGCAGCTTTACAATTTATTCTTCGTTTATTTTACAGATTTCGCCAACTTACTAGCTTCGTTGGCTGTAACGCCTTTCTGTTATTGATTCTTAATTTGTCTTTCAAAAGCTTCTAAATCATGAGATATTTATAATTCTTGCTACTTATAATCTAAGGACTAGATTCTAGATTCTTGTATCTAGCAGTGGAACTTACATAATTAATAAGGCTTAATTGTGATATTTTGGGATATCCCTTAATTGAAAATTCATTGATTCAAAATTCAAAGTCGATGATTGATAAATTGGTTTCTGATGAGAATCGAACTCAAGCCTTCACAGAAGAGGGATACATTTATTAGGTCTGTTGTTCAATCCTTCAACCACCAAGGTCATGTTCTCGCATTGGTAGATTTGCCTAATTGTAGTTCTAAACCATTTGAGATTAGTCAATTAACTCGTAACTCTACAACATCAAGTTAATAATTTAAATCCCAACCAGCTATCAAACAAAGTGTATTTTTAAGCTGTATCATTCCCAAAAAATATGATTTAAACTTTTTTATCACAGAAAAAAAACTGAATTTATGAAAAGGGGCAACCAGAGACAGAATGGAGAAGAGCAAAAGTATCAAAAAATTAACAAAAACATATATCGAATAAAGATAGAGTGAGAGAGATGAGAGACGGAATAAAAAGTTATGATTGGAAAAAGATCAGACAGATAAAAAGGTTTTTTGAACATAAAACTTAAATAATGATTTCGAAAAAAAGGCATAAAAAGAACACCTTTCAGTCATCATTTGATAAACAGCATTCGTTTTCCAAATAAAAATGAATAACAAACACACAAAAGAAGAAGTAAATATATATTTATTAATAAATAAATTTCAAATGTCATAAAAATTTTTTCATGGTTCGAGTATGCTTGTCTGAGAGACATCAAAATATTTTCATGGTGGACGCATTAACAAGCAGAAATTAAACTTTTTTTTTTATCTTTCTCTCTCTCTATTTTCGTTTTACGTATTTGTTTTCTGCTCTCATTCTGCCTCGTATTTTTGAATTCCTTCATAACTTTATTTTTTTTCCGTACGTACACATTCATTTCCATTTCGAAAGACATTCTGAAAGATGCCTTTACTCACATATTATTATTAATTTGAGCAAAAAAAAAGAAGAGCCTGAAAATTTAATTTTTGGAATGTAAAGAGCTGTGTATATTTTTTTTTTTTGGCAATGAAAGGTATAACGTTATACCTACGTTGTTGTTATTATTAATATACATGCATTCACATATTCATTTAACAGGATTGAGTTCGAATCAACATTTCAAAAGATTTATCATCTTTCTGGATTATGCATGAAGGAAGTAAAGTAGTCATAAAGTGAGGATGACTAAATGGTGCATTTATTTTTTGTTTTGTTGAGTTTTGGAAATGTTTTGAGTTTCTTTGAAGGCGTCGATTTGGGTTAAAATAAAAATGTTTTGATGAAGGTTGATAATTAATGTGCTGAATTTTCATTAATTATTTATTCATTAAGTTAATTTCGTGTGACTCATTATTGATTCATGATATTTTGAGATATTTTGGAGACTTCTAAGAAACACGGATGATAAATTAAGCAGTGCTGGTATCTTAGTGATTTCCAGCGGATGAAAACTTAAGACTAGCAAAAAATAGTTTAAATTGGCATTCTAACAAGCTTGATGTTAGCCTTGATAGCTCATTGCGATCGGAAATCATAAGAAAGCGGACTTGAATCGATGGATGATCAGATCTGGGTTTTTAAAAGTAATCTAAACGAGAATAATGTTCTTATCAATTAGTTTAGTGAAGTTACGAATCCAGAATATCCATAAACGTTTTGAATTTTTAAAATGCCTGTCAAGCGTTGATTCCAAGAGTGCGGAACTGATAAATTACATTTTGATAATTTTTGATCATTTTTTGATCATTTTTGATCATTTTTTGATCATTTTTGATCATCTTTTGATCATTTTTGATCATTTCATCAGTGTCACATCCTTAGTTGATTCCTTAGTTAAATAATCATTGATAAACTTAGAACTAATCCAATTCATCCTTAAAACCACAAATAACAAACAAAGTCAACGATTTTTAAACACTTCATGCTTGACCAACCCCAACACTTTATGAATCACACAGATTTCATAATAGGTTGTAATACCTTCAACTAATAGAAGTTGCCAATCAACAATCCTGTACCGTGAGATAGTTTTTAACGACTATTGCATTTCTCCTTAATCCCTCTGATTCCTCACTCCGATTTTTTTTACCCAATGACATTACATGCTTAGTGTCATGAAATTCTCTATAACTTGTATTAAATGACCACAATCTTGAGTGAATGTTCAATCAAGACATTTCCGATTCAACATTTTTATTTTCTTAATTGGATATTAAAATCTCGTTTACAAAGTGGCACAGATTAAACTAATAAAATATTCCGAAGCTTTTAAACTTCTTCCAAGAATTGAAACAAAGTGAATCAGATGAGATATTTTGTTGTGCAAAAAGTCAGCTATAAAGTAAGACAGAGAGATGCAGGCAAATGAAGGAAAAGGCAAAGCAAAGGGCTTATCATATGAATTCGAATAATTTTTACTTTCGGGAGGTATATCTCAAAATATTTATATACATTTTTAAAAATGAAATAAAAATAAAAATAAAAAAAAAAGTCAGAAGCGGCAAAAAATTCTTCATTTCCATGGAATCATTAAGCGGTATTAATATAAATCAAAAAATGAAAGAGGCAGAGAAGGAAAAAAAAAATTAAATTTCTCGTCGGAACGATAGCAAAACTATTTAGCAGAAAAGAATATTTCAAATATTTTTGAGTCACTTCATTCCTACATTTCGAGCAGCATTTATGAAAAAAAAGTGGAATTGATGGGGCATGAGGAACAAGAAAAAATAAAAAAAGAGCAGTATGAAGAAAAAGATACAGAAGCTGCTTCTCATCATTTCTTGCATAGTCATTCGTCTTTGTTATTGACTGCTATTTTGAGCATAGCACAGCTACTAATTGCAGAGATTTTAAAATCATTAATTTCGTGGATTAAAGAGAATTTCTCACATTTATTCCACCATACAGTATGACAATCGATTTCAGTCACTAATCTCAGATAAGTCTTGTTTTATATCAACATACTTTTTGTCTGTTCATTTATTTTTTATTCGTCAAAAAAAAAGGAAGCGAGAAGCACAAGCGTTTACAATTTAATTAAAGAGAAATTTTGAAAATTTCTTTCTCAAGAGCCCTTAACTCATCGTGAAACTTGACGTGATAATAAGTTATTTGGGGAGATTTACAGATGAATAGCTCGACTTGGATATTTATTCATAAAATTATTAAATTATTCAATCAAAAATGAGAAGAAAAAAAGATGAGAGGAATATATAATTTGACTGACTGATGTTTCTGAAGTGGCTCAATCTTCAAATCTTTATTGGGATCTTTAACTCAATAAAATTCACAGGAAATGCTTCACAGGCTGGAAAAGTTTTTCATCTGATGCTTCTGGGAAATTTAAAGATGAAAAAAAGTTTGATGCTTGAAAATTGAAAAATAATAAACACAACAAGGGGCTGTTCATAAATGATTCTACCAAGTACTGAGATTTTTCATCTCCGTTTTTATAAATTTTCAAACATCTTGCACAAACCGCTCAAAGTTAGACATCATTGACGAACGACCCCCCAACCAGAAACATAAAAAATAATGATAATAACAACATCAATAAGAAACAAGTCTAGAACTATAGAAAGATGATAAAATTACATTATTACTCATAAGCGCACTTGAGCTCTAATAAACGTTTATTACTTTTCTCATAAATTTGTATGTTATTGCGCTTTGCGCAACTTTGTTGGTGCATTTTAATTTTCATCGCTAGTAGGTCATTTACACTACCATATACATAAACTTTTTTTTCCATCATCATCTTCATGTAATGGAAAAAGAAGAAGCAGCAATCGCAAAAAAAACAACATACAGAAATTCTGTGAGAGAATAATACACCCGGTGAGTGAGCGTAAACGTTCTTGTGAGAGCGACTGAGCGTAAGCATATAACATTACAGCATGTTGTTAAAGTAAATCGTTTGCCACAGACAAAAAATAACATTTTTTCCATCACAATCCGCACTCACAGTAAAAATGAAGGAAAAAAGAGAATTAACAATTCAGTTTTCGTCGAGCGCTCAAGCAATACAGACGTAACAGGCTCATACGGTCGAATTTTTTTTTATTTTGAATAAAAAAACACACAGAAAAATATAGAAAATTTATAACATTTATATTTCTATATAGAAAAAAAAATATCGTAAAAAAAGTGTTTAAAGAATTTTTTTGTGCTTGATATTTTTTTTATAAATTTTATAAATCAAGAAGAAGTAAATCCAATTGTGCAAAGAAGTGGAAAAAAACAATTTACAAGTTTATTATATCGATAGTGCAGATAATATCGTCCAGAGATTAAATTTCGTTATTGATTTCTTGAAAATATAAATTTTTTTCTTCTTCCTTCTCCTTTCTTGCTACTTGAAGAGTAGTTGAAAAGTCTATATCTGTATACAACACAGAAAAAAAATAATAATATTATAAGAAAGAAAAGGAAACGAAAAAGCGAGAAAAAGATATGAAAAAAAAATACGAGCAAGAGATTCAGTGAGATATTAAAATGAAAATTTATGCAAATTTGCTCTAGTTATTAATTTATCAGTAGAAGAAAAAAATAAAATAAAATAAAAACGAGAACGTTGAAATACAAAAAAATTAAAGTTGAATGCTGAATGAAACTTATACAAAGACAGAGTCAAGAAACCACTAAAAATGGATTACTAATGGATTATGATATACACACATAATATCCAATAACGCAAGGTAAGTCATCGCAAAAAAAGTGAAAAGACAATTGTTAAACCTCATCATGAACCCTATCGAAAATCGTGATCAGAAAGTTTTTCTGTCTTAATGAGCATTCGCTTGACCCTCAGCTCGTACTCTCCTTTTGCACTACAAATAAGTGCCTTTTATCTATCGTTACATCTTCAAAACCGAAAAAAATATACCCAAGTATACATGCTCAATTCAGCATCAGCGACTATGAAGATGAGAAAGAAAAAAAGAAAGAAAAACTTTCTCAATCATCAGAAGTAAAAAAAAAATAAATTTCACATTCTCTCGTCTCGAAAAGAAGAAGAGGATTTCTTTTGGGTCTTCTTTTCCATTCTTTCTTACCCATTTTATTGAATGATCTCCATAACCGCAATCACATGATGTTGATGCAATAAGGCAAATTAAGAAGTGAAAAGAAACCACAATAAAGAAGCTAAGTAAATGTGAAGAATATGTGCCTATCAAAAAGTCTATCTGTGCATGTAAAGCATGTAATAAAAACATAAGAAAGAAAAGAAAATTAGTAATGGACTTAAAAAATATTATAAACAGTTTAACAAACATAGATAGATAAAAATGTGATTGATGTCGAAAACCTTTTATAATAAAAACAATACGAACCTGATTCTTCCATTCACGCACTGCATGTGCATTAGAAATTTAAATTTTTCGGACTGTATCTATCTGTATCTTTTTAGTAGAATTATTGTGCAATCAATGGATTTACAAACGAGACCATTCCATCAATTTATTCATTAATTAAAAACAACAAGGAAAAAAAAAATAAAAATTAAAAGTGGGGTAAACAATCACAAACAATCAAACTACATCAATTGCATATTCAACAGTAGAGTGCTCTTGATGTTACACACATACACAGACTGGCTTACTTCAAAATACGAAAAAATAAAAAAATAATAATAATAAAAAGTTCAACTGACATTTACAGTTTAATCCTTTGCAACGAGCTCACGAACTCTCATTTTCCCATTCATACAAATTAATTCCTGTTTTTCTTCTCAATTTAAAAAATAAGGCAGCAAGTAGAACAGCTTTTGAAATAAGCTACGCAAATAAAAAATAATATAAAAGTATTCATAGGGTACGAATGAGGATTCGAAATAAATGTTTTGAAATTAAATTATGCGAAAATTAAATGTTTTTCTAGCGCGCGCAATCTGAAAAATTGTAAAGTTTTTTTTTTGTTATGCTGTATGTGTCGAGAGGGGTTAGTGCTATAATTTCATTAGTAATTATTTCAATTCATATACTATTAATGTTGTTGTTCTGTATGTGCGTAATATAGGAATGAGTGAGATGTAGTTAAGGCGATATTTAATGAAAAATCAATTGCCGTGAGTGATACGAGAGATTAAATTGAATTAGTTTATGACTTCATATAGCAATTTTGTTTTGTTAGAAGTCCCGTAGAATTCGAAAACATCCAATTTTATTGAACTGATGGAAGCCTGAGGGTAATAATTGAAAAATCTCATAATCGCACATAATTCTCTGAAGAATTTATATTGAACAATTTCGTGTGAAGCTTTTAACTACCTTAAAAATCAACAACTTCATCACATGAATCTACAAAATTCATAAAAATTTCAATACTGTACGGAGCGATCAGAATCTCTAATGCCAATCAATAATAAAAATAAAACTTATGTATTTTCAAATTATAATGAAATGAACCGTCGAGGAAAGATCATGAAAGTGATTTAGTCAATTGATTCAATCATTCACTCATCGCGCAGCGGGTATTCGCAAATAAATATTGTGTACGTAAACAAATGATTTTTTAAATAAAAATGATGATTAATTTTTTATACTCTCGATAAACGTCTCTTTAATTTTTACGTAGCATGTGATTTTTCTCATCCTACGCTGATGTCTTACAATATTGTTTTTTCGGGGGGTATGTTGTTGATGGGCAACACGAAAGAGCCCCCAAGGAGTGAATTAAATGAATCTGCTATAAAAAATACTCCCTCAATGCTCTTCATTCATGCTCCTTTTCCTCGACTTCTGTCTCTCTTTCATGCCTTGAAGCGATGTGATGAATAATTAATGACGACATCACATTTTTGCGGAAATTTATGATGCCTTGTCGAGCAGCTGCTCCTTACCGTTCACTGCCTTTTTTTCACCATTCTTCATTTCTTTCATAAAAATCCTTATTTTTATTGAAATATTTCATTATCCACGATTATCTGGAGCTTACTCAGAATAAGAAATTTCCAGTAAGTTGAGGTATAAAAAAAATTTTATTTTGTCAAGGTGCGAAAAAGTCACGTGAGATTGAGACAGTCAGACACTCCTTCTTTTATTGTATTCGAGTGCTTTAATTCACAACAAAGCTTAAAATCTAATCCGTCACTTCAAGGATTAATCCTCACTCTCTGTGTGTGTCTTTTGCTTCTTCAGTCCAATAATAATAATATAAATCTATAGACACACAAAAAAATAATAATAAAAGGAGAGTGACTGAAAGGCAAAAGACCATCACTTACTGGAAAATTGATTATTATAAATTTTATATTACGTAAAATAAAATAAAATTGCGATCGTAAATCACAAACGAATGCCATATCCAAACACACACACAGCATTAGTCTCATAGGGATAGAAAATCCGATTCACCAGTTGCAAGTTCCTTCTGCTCATTCTTTTCTCTTGTTATTGCTTCATTTTTGCACAATAATTTCATTTTTTTTAAAACAGGGATAGGATGTGTTTGGATAAACACAGCAAGGGCTCACTAAAAATATTTCCCTACCTTTCCCTCCCTTTTAGCCTTAGCTATATTCTTGTTGAAATCATCATATGAAGCAATAATAACAAACGATGATTACACAAAACTTTCAAACTCAGTATGGATTCATCATCATGTTATGAACAAAAAAAGAAGAAAATTATGAATATGAACGGAGAGTCCTTTTCAGCTCTTCTAACCATAGGGGGAATTTGTGTCATAAATCTCACTTGCATGCGCTAATGCAGTACCACAGAGGAGTTTTAAAAAAAGTCTACAGAGAAAAAAATATTTTGGATATGAATATTATAGATGATAATAAGTATGAGAAATTGGAGGTTCAAGGACACCTGAAGCGCTTTAGACATTAAAACCTTTGTGCTGCTGAGAATCTCAAAAAACAGTCTGCATCCCAATCATTAAATGCTGATAATAAAATCACTGAATAAGAAATTTCTTTGAATCAAAAACCATAATTTAATGCAGTTTTGGTCAACCTTTCTTATATGACATGACAAAACTCAGCCTTAGAAGATTTTCTCGGCACATTTAAGCATCGTCTTTACGACACTAAAGTGCCGCAGCACTCATGTTACCCACCACTGATCTAATGAATAAAAAGTCAAAGTGACTTACTAAGCAATTTCCAATTCTATTTACAACATGCTCAAAAAGCATTGAATATGAATTGTACACACAGCATATACACAGCAATGATTGGGTTCATCTTTTTATAGTGCGGTATCGCTGTGGCTTTGAAAGTCTTTTCAATTTTCTGTTGATTTCACGCATGACTGCTCAATTTTGCTATATAGAAAATTTCCTCTATATTTTATTATTTTTATTATTATTATTATTATTATGTTTTTTGCATTCAACATCTAAATTGAATATGATCAGGACATATGGCTTGCGTTAGAATAATTGATAAAATATTATCTTTTCACTTCGTAGTCTTTTGCATTCCCACCCCATCTCTCATTCTCCTCTTTAACAACATTATCATAAACATTTATTTATTTTTTATATGTTTTTCTGTTTGCTTATCGATTATACAAAAAAAAAAGACTGAAATATACAAGCACGATTCATAATAAAAATTTCCTCCGACTTGCTCCTATTCCTATTATATTTTATATGTTGTTATTTTACGTATATGAATAATTCAAAGTCTGAAACAGAAGAAAATTTGAAAATAATGTTGAATAAATTTTCTAAATGCGCGCCGAAAAGGAACGGATTGAAGTGGGCCTATTATGTGAGGAGGGAGATTGTTAAAGGCAGATTATGAATCACTTCAGCAACAATTTGCACGGAGCAAAGTGTACGACTGGTAAATGTTGATGATGATGAAGAAGAAGTGAAATAAGATGTATTAAAACATTTTTTTTTTGAAAAGGAGTTTACTGTACACTTGCTGAATATTAATAAATGTAATATATTTTTTTTCTGCTCTCTTCGTTTCTATGCCTTACGTATAGACTGGGCGGTAGAGTGAGGCGATCAAAGTCGAAATAAACTTTTATATTTTCAAGAATGTTCATAATTTCCGATCATTACTCAAATCAAACACCGCTTACTAATGAGATTTTCATGAAAATCGAATAAGTACGGGAAAATTTCTGAGCGGAAGTTCAAGAAGAATAGAGGAAAAAGTTATGATTATTTTTCTTGTTATTCTCGTCTATGGCTATTGAGGAAAATTCAATCGTTTCTTGTTCCATTTTATTCTGTGTGTATATTTGATAAATAATTCTCAATAAGAGTTTTTTATTTCTTAAGAAGCTTTTGAAGGCACACAAAAAAAAAACTTTTTTCTTTGAATTTTTTTTGAGCGTAATTTTCCTTCCTTCCACTTCTTCAGTCTCATGACTATATTTTTTCTGGGTGTATCTTACAGAAATAAATGAATTGGTATCGATAACATATGTGTAGATTTATCATTGAATATATGACGGAAGAATTTTATTTTTTTTTGAAATTGGTGACTTCCTTTCCCAAAAAAGGATCGACAAAGTCGGTCTTAAAACTTGTCGCCATCGACATTTATGCAGCCACTTGTCGTCTTCACATTCTGTATTTGTTTTGAATGCATAATTAAAATATGAAATTCATAAAAATTAAAAATAATATTGCTGTAGCTTGAAATTGTCAGTTAATTTTTTGTTGATGGGTCATGTCTCCTGCTTTGTCATTTTTTTCGGTATAATTTAAATTCAAAATTACATAG